GAGAGAAGGGAGATTTTTGATAGGCTTGCTAGAAAAAAATGGTTAATAAAGATTAAACATGTACATATAAAAGAAATATCTAAATAAAATCAGTTCTGCATTAAACTCTTGAATTTTATTTTTGTTTACAAATGAGAATTGTTTACTAGAGGGTATCCGCTGGGTCTTGAAAAGTCTTAAAAGGTGATAAATCGGTTTTGGTCAAATTGAGGCCCTTAGAAATTATTAAAAACTATTATCACATCTTTGCTCAGGCTCAGCTTGCCGAAAGTATTTCCTCAGAATTAGCTCTCCAACAGTCAAGGAAATGATTAAAGATCTAAATAAAACTTTGAGCTCCATCGTTTAAAGTTCCTTCTCCCTTCTGCTCAGCGGTTCCACGGTTGCTAGGCGACAGAATGTTCGCTGAGGGAGTGGCGGTAATTCATGAACGCTAGGCCTGTCCAAATTCACAGCCGTTAACATCCGGTCTACTCGGCCGACGGAGGACTCAGCCCACGTCGGCCGAGTAGGCTGGGTCCTTCGAAGGATGCAGACCCTGAAATGAGACACAGCGGAAGGCTCACAACAACATTGTGACATCATATGGTACCAGCTAACGTTCTAGGGTACCTCTTAGCCAATAGCGATGGCAGATTTAAATTCAAATGCAGTGCAGAGTTTTTACCTGACAACGGCACAACACTGACACTTTTAGGCAGAAAATTTAAAGACCAAGTCACCCCCAAATCAACTTTTTTCCCCTGATAAACTGAATAAATGTGTGTCTAATTGTGCTGCAGACACGTGTAGTCAATAGTTTGGCACTTTAGTGCATCTTAGTTAAAATTTTAATATTCTGCCTAAAACTGGCAGCGTTGTGCCGTTGTCAGGTAAAAACTCTGCACTGCAGTTGAATTTAGATCTGCCATCGCTATTGGCTAAGAGGTATGCTATGATGTAAACTGGTACATTATGATGTCACCATGCTGTGGTGAGCCTGTGTGTGTGTGTATTTGTTAGCGGCTTCGCCCTCTCGGTCTGCCAGGCAACAGCATTTGTTGCATTTTTTAAACATGAAGTGAGAGTGGAGTTAGACTCTGGTAGGGGGTGACTTGCTCTTTAGTCACCCCTACAAGAAACTTACAGCAACATAAACATTCTCATTCATGTTGTTTAGATTCTAACAATTTTTACAATATTGAACAAAAGAAGCTAGAAAGTATAAAAATAACTTATTTAGTTCAATTTAACCAGACTCAGGCGTAGTGAAATATTAAATCAGCCTTTAAAGAATTATATTCATCAAGGTCAGACATATAATAGGTCAACAACATAGTCAATCAATCATGATTTGTGTTCATAGTTTTAAAAAAATGTTACATTTCTACTCAACGGGGCAATGTTTTACAGTGTAAAACATAAATGATCATTATGGGTTTTTTTCTTTTATCGTTTGCTGGCAGTTAACCGCTCTAGTTTGGTGTGTTTATGTCTTGCTCTCTTCCTACTCATCGTGGGTTTGTTTTAGTTTTAAATGCTGAAGTTTAACAGGTGCGTTCGTGTCCCACCTGGTCCAGAGGAATCTCTTTGGACATCCGTCTCAGGCGACACTCGAGGGTTACCATCTTGGCTTCTTTACGCACAATCTCAATGTGGAGCTCGTCGCTTTTCTCCTCCAGTTCTCTGATCTGTTTACGATATTTATCTTTGTCGACGAGACTCTGGGAGAACTGATGCTGGGCGTCATCTCTGGCTCGGAACGCCTGTAGGTCACAGGAAACAGAAGAGCATTAACGTCAGTCAGTGTGTGTGTGTGTGTGTGTGTGTGTGTGTGTGTGTGTGTGTGTGTGTGTGTGTGTGTGTGTGTGTGTGTGTGTGTGTGTTGCTACCTGGTCCCTCTCTTTCTCCACCTCCTCCAGCTGTGCAGTGAGGGTGTCAATGCGGTTGTGATACATTTCACAGTCCTTCTGAAGCGAAGAGGTCTTTAACTCAAGGTCCTCCTTCTCCTCCAAGTACTACACACACACACACACACACACACACACACACACACACACACACACACACACACACACACACAATGAATGTTTTTGACAAAAAGCCCACTTCTGGTTTAAATAATGTGTGTGTGTGTGTGTGTGTGTGTGTGTGTGTGTGTGTGTGTGTGTGTGTGTGTGTGTGTGTGTGTGTGTGTGTGTGTGTGTGTGTGTGTGTGTGTGTGTGTGTGTGTGTGTGTGCGTGTGTGCGTGTGTGTGTGACCTTGTCTCGTAGTTCCTCCGCCTGCCTGACTTCTTCGTGGAGGTTGTAAAGGCGGTTGACCAGATCCTGTCTGTCCTCCAGAGCTTCCTGTCTGTCGTGCTCCAAAATGTCAAGAATGGCCTTGTCTGATGCTGGTAATGGGCCGGGCTGGGAACCAACACACACACACACACACACACACACACCCGGTTAGGTGGGTAATTATTTGATCTGTTGTCGGCCCAGAGTTGTGATGACGGTTACGGCTTGTTTTGTCGAGGCAGGATGGTAAGGAGTGTTCTAGTGATACGTTTCAGTCTGCAGGTTTTAATGTTATGGCTGGCTCATGGTTCTAATCAGCTTCAGCTCGCTCGCTCTCTCTCTCTCTCTCTCTCTCTCTCTCTCTCTCCCCCTCACACACACACACCGCTGGAGGTTTGTCTCGCCAAGCTGAAAGCAGATTGTGCTCATCTAACAGCAGCATTAGGAGACTAGTCTGAGACTTTTCCGAAGACTGAAGCTTCGGAGTTGGCTTCACCTGGATGATGGATTGCAGCTCCTGAAGTTTGATCTTAAGCATCTCGTTCTCTCTTTCCAGCTCAAAGATCTGCTCTCTCTTTGGCCGATTCTTGATGTCGTTCTTCAGCTTCAGACTCTGCCTCCTCTCCATCTTGCACTCCTCCTCCACCTTGTTCAGATTGTGCTTCAGCTGGTCGACCTGCAGAACCGAGAGAGCTCATTTCCTCACCTCCCAACTCCAACAAGTCCTTTAAATGTTAACGAGGTGTGTGCGTGAGCTGTGCTAGAACCTCCAGCTGCAGGTCCCGGCTCCTCATCACGGCCATGTTCTTCTCCTCGCTCAGCGTGGCGTACCTCATGGCCAGCTTGTAGTTTTCATCTTTTACTCTGAGGAGCTCGTCGCTGTAGGTGTTCCTCTCCTCTCTCAGCTTGTTGTACCCTGGATGAAAAACCATGAACGCAGTTTGGGAACTTTTGACATGAACGATTCAAGTTTATCTTGGAATTGTTGCCAAATCCTTGGTTTGAATCTTAATAGTTTGGCTCTGCTGTCAACCCGTGCTTCCTCTAAAAAGGCTGGGCAGCATTTGAACAGGTGAGTTTGGGTTTAGCCTTGCGGTGGTGAAGGGTAGTTGTATGCTAGGGTTTAAGGAATTCCAAAGTGAGGGGTCAGATCTGCTGAAATCGACTCCTCGTGGTGACCAGACCAGCAGGGGTTTGTGCAGGTTGGTGGTAGCTGAGAGAGCGTGTGAGAGGGTGTAGACACGTGAGCTGCGAGAGATATAATGGGGCTGCATGGTGGCGCAGTGGTTAGCACTGTTGCCTCGCAGCACGAAGGTTGCAGGTTCAAAACTCGGCTGTGGCCTTTCTGTGTGGAGTTGCGTGTTCTCCCCACGCATGCGTGGGTTTCCTCCGGGTACTCTGGTTTCCCCCACAGATCACAATATGCCCTATAGGTTATAAATTGTAAGTCGCTTCGGATAAAAGCGTCTGGCAAATAAATAAACATATAAGGGGGTGTGTTTGTAAATGGCCTCATATGTTAGGAGTAAATTTTATTGATAGCCAATGAAGCTGCTGGATACCAGGGCTGATTTTTGCGATGATGTGAGAACCAGGACCTAATCTCTGCAAGGCATCAGTGAGTGAGGAAGGTGGAATCATTGTAGATGCTGCAGCTGAAATATAAAATTGAGCATCATCAGCGTAACAGTAAAAACCGCTGTTGAAAGATTGAACCCAAAGTGGGCAGTCAAATTATGCTGCCCTCACAACACGTGTCTGTGTGCTGCTAGACAGCTAGCTAACCATGAAAGAAAACTCCACGCACAAGGCTTGTTTTTCTTGATTTAGTGAAGCTTTCTTACATTACACACAAATGATTGTTCGTTTGGTAACTGTAACATACAAAAAAAAAGGAAAGGGCATTTACTAAATATGCATTATACTAAAACAGTTAGCTAGCCAGCACACATGACATTGCAGTGTAACGAACAGATAAAGAATCCAATGCAAATAATATTCCTAAAATCTCTGAAAGTTCTAAACAGGTGCTTAAAGAGCAAGTCACCACCAAATCACCTTTTTTTCTGATAAACTATAAGTGTGTGTCTAATTGTGCTGCAGACACGTGTAGTCAATAGGTTTGCACTTTAGTGCATTTTAGTTAAAACTTAAATTTTCTGCCTAAAACTGTCAGTGTTGTGCCGTTGTCAGGTAAAAACTCTTCACTGCAGTTGAATTTAAATCTGCCATCGCTATTGGCTAAGAGGTACCCTAGAACGTTAGCTGGTACCATATGATGTCACAATGTCGTTGTGAGCCTGTGTGTATTTGTTAGTGGCTCTGCCCTCTCGGTCTGCTAGGCAACAGCATACTCCTTAACATATATTTAACCAACTATGAACTCATGTAATTTTAACTAACTTATAAACCTTATAAATTATAACTGTTTTTGACCCAAAGACATGGCATAAATTATGAAGAGTAGGGGGCCGAGGACAGATCCTTGAGGAGCCACAGATACAGCACGAGTAGTAGTGGAGGTAAAATTGTTCAACTGAATTAATGATTTGAACCAATAGTTAATTAATTATGGGGAGAATGAAGTCCGAGACGGCTGACAACTCTCTCATCTTTATTAAGTCTTCCGTTTTCCCAATTTATTGTACTTTCTTGCCTTTTTATGCATGCTCGAAATGTTAGATTCTCTTTTTAGTAATTTCAGTAACAATTTGGTGGCCAACACCTACAGAGTTGTCCCATTTTTAATCCCACAGGAACTAAACAGAGAATTCTGGAAATCAGCAATGCCTATGAGGACGTTTGTTTCCCGTTCTATGATACTCGGAGTTCCTGCAACTCCTTAATTAGTTTTTTGATCAACTAAAAGAAATTACCAGTTTTGTCATTTGCATGACGACTATGTGAAAGGTCCACTGAGCCAAAACCATTCTCCTTATTTACAGCTTAGTTGTTTTATCGTCTGCAGAGATAAACAGAACAGGATGGATTCATAACCACAACAGTATCTTAGTTTCATCAGTTGCATTTTGTGATTAAAATTATTTTTAACTCAACTGTGATGCATGAGGAGGGATAAGCCTGGCCTGTCTGGTGGGGTCGTGGTTTGAAATGGTGTTTTTTTTTTTTTTTTTTTTTTTGTTTCTTGCATTTACTGTAATAAAATGTCCCAAACAGGAAAAAAACATCAGTCAGGAATCACGGCTAGAATGAAAGCAAATATCTTACTTTGCTGGAAGGCTTGAAGCTCCTGATTAGCCAAGGAGAGCTTCTTGCGCTCGTCTTCCAACGTGCGGGTCTTCCTGCTGAGTTCGGCGTTCTGAAGGGTCTTGACTTTGGTGTGCTGCTGCAGTTTCATCACCTCACTCATCAGAAACTGGGTCAGACCCTCTTGACCCTCCTCCACTGATTAGAAGAAACAGGAAACAGAAGGAGAACATGGGTGCATCACAGTTTGTGAGAAATGCACTTCTTAAAGCTAGAAATCTGACCCCAACCATTACCGGCGAGGCACCGCCAACACACGCTGCAACTGGTTTGATCTGTTACATGCTCTTAGATTGCTCTGTCAACCCAAAAGTGTGTGGGCCTTACCTACGATGGTGGAGAAGCATCTTGTGGGCTCTTTCCCAGTCACCACCTTGTACATCTCAGGGTAGTAAAACTCCAGACTCTCCAAGAAAGCCACATAGCCACGCTCTTCTTTAGTGCGAAGGATGTCAAGTAGACGGCCTGGTGCAAGTTTGATTAGTGCACTTTATATTCAGCACAGGAACACATCGAGTTAAAGACCAAGTTCACTTGTTTTTCAACACATTTGCAGCAGTCTCAAGTATAAATTAACGCCCCGTGAATCGATCTCTGTGGGGAAAAGCTCTCACACTCCTGTTTCAGGAAGTAGAAGTGAGCTAGAGGAGAGGTGAGCAGACGACGGTAGGGTTTGGAGACATATATCCCGATATTCTGACATCTCGCCTCTGATTGGCTAACAGATGTACAACTCTTCCACCGCCTTTGTTCGCTCTTCTTTCTGAGCTAAAACACGCAACGCTGATGTGTTGTTTCCTGATATTCTGACACCTCGCTTCTGATTGGCTACTGACGCTACCACCGACTCCGTTTACTGCAACATTGATGTTTTATCTCCACAAACAACACAAACCTGAATGATTTCTGCCATGTTGTGGAGTTGCTAATGCTAACGGTTAGCTTCTATTAGCCATAACACACTCTGCCCTCTCCTTGGCAGGAAATCGACACAGTCTTCCCCGTCGCAAGCTATGATGGGTGAGTCCATGATTGCTAATAGTCAGTATGACATGAATTAGCCTGGGTTTTCAAAGCCGAGCAGTTTTTTTTTCTATTTTCAATCTGTTTCTCAGTGAACTTTGTCTTTAATTTAATGGCAGAAGTAGTTGAAATAAGTTAAAATCAAACCAGTGTTAACACAGCTTGTTTTAATGCAGGAAAATGGAGATTTCTGCTCACTTGTGCGGTTTGCTTTGGTGTGGAGCAGCAGGGAGTTGAGAATCTCATCCTCATCCTGTTCATCCAGGACTTTGCACTGACGGAGGTAGGGGGTAAGCTTGGCTGGGGTGATGACGCGACACAGCTCGTAGCGCTTACACTCCACTCTGTCCCACAGCACATCCATGTCCTCCACCGTCTCATTCTCCATCCCACACAACCTGAGAGTTGGTAAAGCCACCGATTCATTCAGCAGAATTGTCGTTGCATGCTAATGCTGCACAGGTGCTTCATGTTTACTGGTTTTTCACTCATGCTGAGGAAGTTCTCACTAACCCTTGCCGTTTCTTTTCATTTCCTAACGTTAATGTCCTTTGAGCACAAAAAAATGCACCTACAAAGCTTCCCATAGAAATAGTATTTAATATTTCATACGTCCCAGTTTTTTTGAATTTCATCCTTGGCTTCAGCCCTAACAAAATATAATAAAATATGTGTGTTCCTCAGATTTAACCCCTTTATTGCCAGGTTTATTATCATAACTAGAACTTTGAAAACTGTAAAAAAAAAATCTAATCATTTTTGGTGTGTTATGTCCAGATGATCTTTTTTGTGGGTAAGTTGTCACAGCCTTGGAGTGTCACAATGTCATGGTCTGCGTCTGCGTCTCCCCTCATGTGTCTCCTTGTGTTCTCCGTCCCTCACTAGGTTCACCTTTTGTGTCTCCTAGCGCCCTCATGTGTCCTTGTCTGCGTCTTCCTCTTGTGTCTCCTGGTTTTCCCCATTTGCCCCCAGATCTTCAGCCCTCTAGGTTTCCCTCCTCAGGCATCCCCCTCCCAGGTCCTGTGCTCCCTTGGCCCCCTTTAGTCACGTCCCTGTAGTTTTTCTTTCTGTAGTGTTTTCCTGTAGTTTCAGCTTCCCCCTTAGAATATTAGTTATGTTTGCTGCCCTTCTGGTCTTTAGGGTTTTCCCTTAGGTCATTTTCCTTTAGCTACAGCTGTTCATGTTATTAGTCTCTTTAGTGTGTTTTTCCCATCGGTGTTTGAGGTTTTTCTCCCCCCTTAGATTATGTTTCCTACTCTTCTTGTCTTTAGGTTTTATTCTTAGGTCATGTTAGTTTCCTCCCTGATTAGTAACTCAGTTCACCTGGTCTCTCTCTCCCCACACACCTGCAGTTCATCTCCCTCTCATCCTCCCCAAAGTATAAAACCCTGTCTGTGTCACAGTGTTTGGTCAGTCCATTGTTGTCAGCGTTGTTTTGTTCCTCGTCTCTAGCTTTTGTGCTCTATGTGAGCTTTCATTCTCCAGGGTTTCAGGACATTGATTTTTGGCTTCCTGCCCTTTTGGAATTTTTTGTTCTACTTCCTAATAAAGGAATGTTTTCATTTACATCCACTCCTGCCTCATGTTGTTCTGGGTGTCTGCATTTTGGGTCCAAACCTCCTCCTGACTCGCAACGTGACACACAAATAAGCATAAAAATATTTTTGCTCACTTTGTAGTTTTTGTGTGATGTCATATTTTCTAAAATACGCACTGTTAAAGTCCTTTGAGCACAAAAAAATGCATTTACAAAGATAGCCAGTTGAACACTTATTTATAGCACAAGAACAAAGAAAAAGTGTGTGTGTGTGTGTGTGTGTGTGTGTGTGTGTGTGTGTGTGTGTGTGTGTGTGTGTGTGTGTGTGTGTGTGTGCATATATCTGTTAATGCTTATAAACTGTTATGGGAATTTGGGGTCATGTTGTAAAATACTTTGAGTGGCAGTTTGCTTGAGAAGCGCTTTCTACATAAAATCTAATTGAGTGATTGATTGATAACTAATGAGGAGTCTTTCACATCACTGTGGAGATGTTTGTCTCTTACAGAGTTGTTGTAATTCAGCCACACTGGCAGCTCTTCCAGCATGAATGGCCTGTTTAAGGTCAAAGGTCACATGGTCAGATGTTCTGGATGTTCTGGTAGAGAACATACTTTATGGTTGCATCAGCTACGGCACATAAGATAAGATAAGACACATCTTTATTGTCATTGTCACTTTTTCCAGGTGCACTGCAAACGAAGGTGCGGTTGACTCACAAGCATAAAACCAATGAAATCAAAAAAGGGATAAAACCAGAATAAAAAGTCTGCAGGTATATACAGATTGCACATATTTTATAAAAGCTCTGTGCAGCTGACCTGTGGTCAGTGTTCCCATCTGCGTTGGTTATTCAGAAGCTGATCCTAAGACGGCTCTGTATCTTCTCTCAGATGGGAGCACTGCCCGGGCTGTAATGGATCCTCTGAGATGTCTGTTCCTCTCCTGCAGCAACGGGGGGGTGTAGATGTCTTTCAGAGTAGGAAGGGTGCAGCCAATTGTTCTCTCTGCTGCGCTGATGGTCCTGTGGAGTGCTTTCTTTTCCAAGGAAGTACAGCTGCCATTCCATACACACACAGTCCGTTTGTCAGTGTACTCTCTCCGGAACAACGGTAGATGGCAAGCAGCAGATTTGTGGGAAGGTGGTTCTTATTCAGGATTCTCAGAAAATATGACCTCTACTGCGCCTTCGTCACCAGCTCCTTGGTGTTTGCACTCCAAGTCAGGTCATCCTCCAACTTAATGTCTAGAAACCTCTCCATGCTGCTCTCCTCCCCAGGAAATCGATAACGAGCTCCTTCGTTTTCGTGGTGTTGTAGAGCAGATTATTGACTTTGCACCACTGACATTTGCTCGACCTCCTCTCTGTAGGAATGCTCACCCTCTTTGCTGGAGATTAGCCAGATCAACGTTGTGTCATCCACACACTTTATGATCTTGTTCCTCTCGTGGGTGGGGACGCAGTCATGTAGAGGGTCTAGAGGAGTGGGCTGAGCACACAGCCCTGTGGTGTCCTGGTCTTGAGACTCAGCTGCTGAGGTGTGGGGACCCAGCCTTGCCCTATGAGAGCAACCTGCCAGAATGTCCAGTATCCAATTGGATGTTGGTGATTTGAGACCCAGATCAGATAGTTTGGACACCAGTCGAGCTGAAATCCACAAAGAGCATTCTGGCATAGCTCCCCTGCTGCTCCAGGTGGGTCAGGGCAGTGTGAAGAGCCATGGCCACAGCGTCCTCTGCAGATCTCCTTGCTCGTAGGCAAATTGGAAGAGGTCCAAGTCTGCTGGCATGACTCAATGATGTGACTGCACCAGTTTCTCAAAGCACTTCATCACAACTGATGTGAGTGCTACTGGCCGGAAGTCACTCAGGCTGTTTTTCATGGGGTTTTTTGGGCAACGGAACAACGATGGAGGACTTTAAGCAAGATGGTACAATAGCCTGGGACAGGGATTGGTTGAAGATCCAGGTAAAGATTCCAGCCAGTTGATTTGCACAGTCCTTTAAAGAAAGTCAGTTCTACCCAGGACGGCATTTAAAACCGAGCAGTACTCCCTTCCGTACGGGGAACAATTGCCGCGTTATGCTATGGTGAAAAAAAAAACGACCTGAAATAAAAAATGCTTAGTTTGGCTCTGAAGTAACAAAATAATGAATACTGATTAGTTGTATAATTTTTGGTCCACTTTTGATCAAAGTTAATAAAATACCAGCATTTCCTTCTGTGAAACGACGAAAAATGTTTATTTTTCATCAAAACAGAGCTATTAGGCAACCCTACTTTTATTTTGATAGCGGGTTAGCTAATTAGCATTTTGAGGGATCGTGTAAAAAACCCAAATATACACAGCAAATTTTACCGCCAATTATTTACAATAACAGACAACTTTATGTCTTTATTTGTGTTTCTGATCTAAAACACAGTTATGAGCTTTCTCCTCTGCCGTTTAGAGTATAATGGTTCGCGGTGCAATGCATTATGGGATACACAGAATGATACATTAATGCATCCTTGATACAATGGGTCAAGCAAGAACAGGGTTGGCTTGGGCCGTCGTTGAAGATGATTCACAACGACGTGAGTACACAAGCTCAGACGAGTATGCATGATTAGAAATTATTTTTGTGTTGATTTTGGTCAGTTGAGGTTTCAGAAGGCCATTTTTTCCCCTTGTCACATGACCTTTGACATTAACTTTAAAGTAACAGTGTGTATTTTCCCCAGCAATAGAGGGCAGTAGATACCTAAATCATTGCAAGCAAGCATTATTTTTGTGTTTGAATGAGACCTTACCAACGGGTGGCCATTAGGGTCAAAAATCCTTAGGACTGCTACCTCCAGCAAAACAAGAACATCAGATTCCTTTTCATCACTTGCAATGAGTGAAGAGGTAAATGTGTAAAAGAACAATGTTTATTAATGCTGAAAGTTTTGTAATCATTTGTTTCAAATCAGTAAATGCATTCTGTCCTCACGGGCTTCCGTAGAAGGAAGCATGGCGTCCAATATGGCGTCGCCCAGAGACTTAGACCCACTCCCATGTATTTTAGACCTGATTTTTATGGTTATTTGTCATGAAACCGCCAATATTTTTTAACAACCGAGCATCTCTTAATTCATTTACAACATTTCAATGGATATTTCCAGAGTAATAGTAAAAGCTACACATTGTCACTTTAACCAAGTGATGCCTGCAGGGTTTTAGATGTTCTGGATTCTTGAATTTCTTAAAAACACTTACTTTTTGAGATCTTTTAGCTTACGTAACAATGTCAGACATGTTTATGGGCTTGTCCTTGTGCCTTGTGATCAGGAACAACAGGTTCTACTGAAGGGATTTAGTCTGACTGTAATCAGGTCAGGGTGTGGTTAGCGGAACTGAAAAAAATGTCTAAAAAAATTCTAAAAATGTCGTTAATCACAGCTAATTTCTGCAACATGGGAAAAATAGCAGTTTCACCTAAGGGCATGAAGGCTTGGGTAACGGTTTCCTTCTGAGATATAAAATCATCATTTCAAAACTGCATTTTGTGTTTCTCCAGAGTCTAAATTTTACTAGACTCTTATTTGCATTTAACTCCCGCTTGAGCTTCTCTCCTTATCATTTCACCGTCTGTAATACATAAACACACACACACACACACACACACACTATTCAGCTTAAGCATTTGCATGTTGTCAGGTGTGTGGATGTCACTCTACAATCCTGCTTTGTAACTTGCAGCCAACAGTTAGGCAAATCAAGGTTTCTGATGTCATTGCACATGTAAACACACACACACACACACACACACACACACGTAACTCTTGCATTTGAATGACGGTTGTGTGGATCTGGATCTGTTGCCATTGAAGAAAGTGGCGATGTTCTGCATTTAGGCCGACTCTGACAGAAGTTTCACACCCTATCCTCGCCTGTAGCTCGCGTTTGTATCTGCACCATGCAGACATGAAGAAACCACAAACTCAGCAATCAGCCGTGTGTGTTCCTGCACAAGTACACACACACACACACACACACACACACACACACACACACAGATCTAAGTCACCGCGCATGTTTCCTCTTCTCTTATTTTGGACTTCACTGCTGAGAAAGTTCGTCCTTGCTTCCTCCTTTTCAACCCAGATGTGTGTCTCTTCCTCTCCTCAGTCAGACACTTTTGTTTAGCACAACTGTGGTCACACTCTCTTCTTTTTAGAGCTGCAAACAATGCATGTGTCGCATTTTTCTATTTTTTTCTCACTTTCATCCAAAAAGAGGTTAGGTTTAATACAAACCAGCTCACTGTTTCCACTCTCACCTCAGAAGCAGGCTCTACAGCCCGACTCGGCCTCGGCTTCTCCTGCAGATTAACGCTGTAGCATCACTGAGCAAATTCTTGCATTTGATGCATGTGAAGTGTGAGGAATTACTTTTTTTTACCCATCAATTCTAATGTTTCCACTTAAACTGAAGAAAAGCAGCAAACAGTGCTGAACTTTTTTCTCTCCGTCAGATGTTTGGCCATAATGTTGAAGATTATTCCCCAAACAGGAGTTTTTATCAGGACCAAACTCTGGGAACCAAAAGCTGGATGTGGGAAACACAATGGAGCAGGCAGCTGCAGCCGTGGCCGGAAAAAAAGAAAACCAAATCAGAGTCCACCGAGCGAACCACAACCACCGCCGGCCGAGACAAACAACAGATTCAATTTAAAACTGTAAACAAATCCAGGACATAATTCAATAATCATTTCATTTCATTATTATCAAAAATCTGTTTTTAAAGAAGAGACCCAGAGAAGGTCCGATCGTTGTTGCTGCTGCTCGTCAGTGGTGCATTTATGGACAAACAAACAGAGAAATCTGCTTTTTAAGTCAGATTCTTGTGAATCTCTCACATTTGACCTTCAGATTTTCATCTTAATTGTAGAAATGGAACATTTTAAAAATCTCTCAATACAAAACAAGACTGTCTCTTAAAAAAATTAATGATATGATATAAATATGAACATTAGTTGATCTGAATGAGCACAGGGAAATTTAACTGAAAACAATGTTGTTTGTTGTTTAATTTCTAATATAAAAGGCCCAATTACAAGCTTCTGTTGAACGTATTAAAACATTATTTTAAAAATCCTAACAAAAATGTATTTTCATCATTATTATTATTATTATTATTATTATTATTATTATTAATAAAATAATATTATTACTAATACAATAATAATAATAATAATAATATGTATTATTATTAAACTAACATTAATAATATTAAGTATAGTTATTTTAATTATGATAATAACTATAATAATGAAATTATTATTATTGTTATTATTATTATTATTATTATTATTTATCATTATTATGAAGAATAACGCAGTAGTTTTATTTTTTTATTATTATGTTAATTTATCTGTCTCACATTGTTGATGTGGTGAACACTTGTTTTTGATTTGGCTTGTTCACACTGAAAGTCCTCACACACAAATAGAACACGTTGCGGCGATAACTCCGGAATATCAGAAACAAATAACTAATTTCCACAAATTAAGTAACTTTCACTTCTGTAATATTTTTGCTATGTGACCCGACCCACTTTCTGGTCTTTGTTTAACATTTTAAATTATATGATTAAGGAAGTTTAGCTTCAGTTGCTACATGAAAGGTTTAAATACACTCAACAACAATATAAACGCAACACCTTTGTTTCTACTCCGATTTTTCAGGAGATGGACTTAAAGATCTAAAATTCATTTCAGATACACAATATTACCATTTCTCTCAAACATTGTTCACAAAGCAGTCTAAATGTGTGACAGTGAGCACCTGTCCTTTGCTGAGATAATCCATCCCACCTCACAGGTGTGCCACATCAAGATGCTGATACTGCCCACAATAAAAGGCCACCCTGGAATGTGCAGTTTTTTGCGTTATTGGGGGTCTTGGGACTCAGAACTGGTCAGTATCTCATGTGTCACCATTTGCCTCATGCAGTGCAACACATCTTCTTCGCATAGAGTTTATCAGATTGTCAGTTGTGGCCTGTGGAATGTTGGTCCACTCCTCTTCAATGGCTGTGCGAAGTTGTTGGATATTAGTGGGAACTGGTACACGCTGTTGTATACGCCGGTCAAGCACATCCCAAACATGCTCAACGGGTGACATGTCCGGTGAGTATGCTGGCCATGCAAGAACTGGGACATTTTCAGTTTCCAAGAATTGTGTACAGATCCTTGCAACATAGGGCCGTGCATTATCTTGCTGAAACATGAGGTGATGTTCATGGATGTATGGCCCAACAATGGGCCTCAGGATCTCATCACAGTATCTCTGTGCATTCAAAATGCCATCAATAAAATGCACCTGTGTTCTTCGTCCATGACAGATGCCTGCCCATACCATAACCCCACCACCACTATGGGTCACTTGATCCACAACATTGACATCAGCAAAGCGCTCACCCACACGACGCCACACACGCTGTCTGCCATCTGCCCTGAACAATGTAAACCGAGATTCATCCGTGAAGAGAACACCTCTCCAACGTGCCAGACACCATCGAATGTGAGCATTTGCCCACTCAAGTCTGTTACGGCGATGAGCTGGAGTCAGGTCAAGACCCTGATGAGGATGATGAGCATGCAGTTGAGCTTCCCTGAGACGGTTTCTGACAGTTTGTGAGGAAATTGTTTGTTAATGCAAACCAATTGTTTCAGCAGCTGTCTGAATGGCTGGTCTCAGACGATCTTGGAGGTGAACCTGCTGGATGTGGAGGTCCTGGGCTGGTGTGGTTACACGTCGTCTGCGATTGTGAGGCCGGTTGGATGAACTGCCATATTCTCTGAAACGCCTTTGGAGATGGCTTATGGTGGAGAAATGAACATTCAATGCACGGGCAACAGATCTGGTTGACATTCCTGCTGTCAGCATGCCAATTGCACGCTCCCTCAATGCTTGTGGCATCTGTGGCATTTTGCTGTGAGACAACACTGCACATTCCAGGGTGGCCTTTTATTGTGGGCAGTTTAAGGTACACCTGTGCACTACTCATGATGTCGGATCAGCATCTTGATGTGGCACACCTGTGAGGTGGGATGGATAATCTCAGAAAAGCAGAAGTGCTCACTATCACACATTTAGACTGATTTGTGAACAATGTTTGGGAGAAATGGTAATATTGTGTATCTGGAATGAATTTTAGATCTTTCGGTATCAAACTTAATCGTGCAGACATTCCTGATCAGCAACATTAGTCAGAGTCCACGAGGGCCCAGCTGGAGCCCACCCAGCCGGAACAGCTGATGTGATTAGCTCAGGTTTACAACCTGTTATAAAGGCCTCATTGTCCAGCTGAGGAGTAGCAGGAATCTGAAATGTGAATCTGAAATTCGAGCCCCGCTTGTGGAGTCGAAGAAAGACAGAAAGCAGGCAGAAGGTCAGCTCTGATTGTTTTCATCATTTCTACAAAAGAAAGGTGAAGCTTATTTCATCTGTCCTGTTGCATTCCTGCACAGCTTCAGTTTGAAGAACTGGAGTTTAGATCTGACAGGATTAAAGAGCTAACAGCTAGATGAAGAAAGACCAACACATGTTGGTGAAGATCTCAGATCCCCACTAGTTTAAACTCAGCTCAAGGCCAGCCAAAGTGCTTTACAGACATAAAATCATAAGCAGCACATGGAAAATGCAATAAAACTGTATAAAACAATACAAACAACAAAGTCAGCCACACATCGCGTCAAATGCCAGCGTATAAAAATAGGTTTTCAGCCTAGACTTACAAACTATTACAGAAGAAGACAGCGTGATCTGTAGAGGAAGATCACTCAAAGGTTTTGGAGCAACGACTGAGAAAGCTCGACCCCCCCCCCCAGCCTCGGCTAAGTACCAGGAGGCGAAAACAGCAACATTGCCTCTGATGGATACGCGTGTGGAGGGACATACGTCCTTAGCAGATCAGACGCTGGGCCTAGCCCATTCAGGGATTTACAAACTAAAAGTAGAATCTCAAAACAAACCCGATAATAAAAAGGCAGCCAATGAAAAGAGGCCTGGTGTGATCAAATATTCCCTTCCACCTTAAAAACCCTGCTGCAGCATTTTGTGCCAATTGCTAATGTGAACTAGCCTAACTACCCATGCTAGCCCTCCTATAAATGTAGATATATAGTCTTTCCACGACCCATAGACAAAGCTCAGTCGTGGGGCAGAATCTACAGCGGTCTTTCATACTCATCACTAGGGGTTGTATGAACTAGTCGACTAGTCGACTTCACTGCTCTGTAGTGACTTTTTATGCTTGTCATCGACTAGTCGCTGTCACATGATAATGGCCGGCAAGATGCGGTCCTCGGAAAAGACAGCAGCCTGCTGTCAGCAGGTGACAAGCTCCTGCGCACTGGGAGGCGACGCCCTGTGCCAGAGCGTCGGTACTGACACCCGCCGTAAAACGTACATTTGACCAAATTGTGACCTTTACCCTCTTGCAATTTAACCTTCCCGTCACCCCCATCCTAACCTTAACCAGCTTGCGCATGCAAAGCTCTGATTGTTGACGCGCTCCAGACATCTGCGTCCTGAGCACGGCCACGGTAACGTTATCAAATCAGGTGTCACCACCTCAAAAACTAATTTAACACGCAATCGTTCATGTCGGCTCATTTCCTTTTATGTTTTCTGTCTTTTATTTGTGCCTGATGCGTTTCGCTGCTGTGGAGCGGAGCGCATCACCTTGTCCTCCGGTGATGCACCTCAGTGGTGCGGCCGGCGCGCACCCCGCAGTTTTTGCGGTCGGTAGATCTTTTAGAACTGCAGTTCAAAGGTAACTCATAAGGTGAATATATATGAACCCAGGTAGCAGTTTTTCTTTAAGATTGAGAGGAGATGCAGGAAGATAATAAACAGACAGGACAGAAAAATAGTCAAATAATAACAAGCTAGTTTTTGGACCTGGTGGTTGCAACAAACAGACACCATTGAAGGTAATCAGAAGTGAGGAACAGAAAATGAAATAATTATTTTAATGTTTAGAGCAGCAGGAACTCTGAGAGGCTGCAGGCGCATCAGTGAGTTTGCGGCCACTGCGCAGGGGGAGGGGGGAGAGGGCTGAAGCCGAAACTACCGTTGTTAAAAGAAATGTGTTTAACTTTGAAAATGTGGGCGCAATTTTAATTGTCAAAAAAAAGTCCAGCGAACCAACCGACCCCCCACCCACCCACCCACCCCGCGCCGCTTCAGGTGTATGACGTCATCAACGACTAGTCAAAGTCGACTCGATTTTCATTACTTAACAGTCGACTTTTAAAAAAATTAAGTCATGCAGCCCCTACTCACCACTCAATTGGACAGCGCTAGGACCAATCAGAGCAATGGACAAAATGACCTATAGGTTACTACTACAATCAAGTAACGAGGCAGTCCGCCATATCCCGTCAAAGGAGAAGAAGCACCTCTAGCTTCTGTGCTAAGCCCGTCCAACGTCCCTCTACAAACAGAGCTCTGGGATTGGCCCTGCCTAATCTCAGCCAAGCCAGTAAAAGACTGCCACCGCTACAACAGAGCGTGACCTGACCAATGTGCAGAGCTGAATCTTTTGCTGCGGTTTTGTCTAGATGTGTAGGCTACCAACAGACAGTTTCAACAAAGGTGTTTTCCTCTCCACTCTCGCTACATGCTTGCCTAGTATGAGGATCGCTGTAAAGACTCTGACACTAGTCGGTGACTCGTTCCTTACTGAGGAAACTCTTTACTGATTGGCTTAATAAACTGAACTGTTTTGTAAAGTGCCTTGAGATGACTCATGCCGTGATTTGGCGCTGTATAAATAAACTGAATTGAACTGAAAACACAAAATTCTGTTTATTCACAAACATCCACTGCAGCAAGAAAATGTAGCAGTTCTGGTGCGTTTATTTATATTTGGCTGTCACTTAAAGTTCACGACAGCGCA